TGAGTTGAATACTCAATAAAAACATCAAAGAAAACTCCCAAAGTATCCCCAGATATAAACCCTAGAAACCAAAAAGAAGATCTGGAGCAGTTATCCTAAAAATCAAAGAAAACTAGTAAAATATCCCCAGATATAAACCTTAATATCCAAAAAGAAGATCTAGAGAAGCAATCCTAAATTCTGACAGAAACCCATATTTATAGAAATTTGAAACTGCGAGGCTCGCTCGAGCGAAGCTTCTCTCGCTCGAGCTAGGAACCAAAAACGCGTGTTTTCCATAAGTGGTTTCGCTCGAGCCACGCACCCTTCGGTCGAGCGTGCATTCATCTCTTTTAGGTTTTTACACAGACGCAGCCTTCGCTCGAGCGAGAACTCCTTTGCTCGAGCGAGCAAGGGCGGATAGGCAACTTTGAATGCAATTTTGCATTTTGCTTTGGGAGCCCGCCTGGGCGTTGCCCCGGACCCACCAAGGGGCGCTGCCCCCTGGACCCCCACGAGCTAACCGGGCAGCTCGATCCCCGTTATAATCAGCGAAGTGGCAATCTTGAAAGCATTAACATCACAAACTTCTCTGCATGGTTCGATTCGGGTTTGGATTCGCATCTAATAAACCCATAGCCTCACTGAAATAAAAATGCGAATAAAATTACAACTCAAAAGAGTTTTGTCAAACGGGATTGCCAAGAAATAAAACCTAACAAATTTAATAAAAAATAACTCATTTTTTTACTCTAACGATTTCATCAAATAGATATTAAATTTAAAGCTTTACTTTTTTTTTATTAAACAGTAGATCAATGTCTTTTATCAAATCACTGTTCATAGTTATTTGATTTTCAGTACTAGATGTCCTCTCGGATGACCACCTCATAGTAAAAATTTGTGAAAAAATTATACTGATCAGTTGACCCTTCGGTCATTTGCCCGGTTGAACCCCCTGGATGACTACGTCAAAATAAAAACTTGGGAAAATTTTATACTGCCCGGTCGATTGATCGGACATCTACCAAGTCATCCATTTGGTCTATCAGTATTCTAATAAAGCTTCAAAAATCTTCCGTTACAGCGCTTACTATTAAATGAAATTTTTATTCAAATTTAATAAAAAATTTGATAAATTGTTTAAAATGATCTGAGATGATTTAATAACTGATATGAAATCATTTTATAAAAAAAAAAGTAAATTACAAATACATATCTTGATATCTATACTATCTGTACTATTATATTAAGTGAAGCCCTAAAATAGTCTCTTGAAGCTTTTGCTAGTTAGAAATTATATAATTTAAAAAAGGGAAATTATATAATTTTTTTTTTAAAAAAAAAAAAAAACCTTACACTTGCCTTGCATTCCTTTATTTTGCCTAGAAAGGCACATCTTGCATTTGGACCACCATGCTTGCATGTTTTGGCTTAGCTTTGTGAAGTTTTTAGTCATGTTTTATCATGTTTAAGTTCTGTTTGGTGTCGTTTTGGTCATGTTTGCCATGCTTTGTATAGCCTCTTTGTATTCTTGCTTGTTAGCCTTGGGTGTGTGTGTCACTAGCATGCTTTACTTGGCTTGTTCTCATGATTTGGCACCATTGGAGACCATATTTCAGTCCATGTTCCATGCTTTCATACTTGCATTTTCCATCCCTTTTCATGCTTTGGAGAGTTGATAGCTTATGCTCCATGTTTAGGATAAAGGAATTACACAGGTATACTCTCAATTACCTAGCGAATCCACGCCCGAATTGAACCAACCCCTATGTGCCTCTTCCAACCCCGTCTTCACCTTGGAATTGTCTTGACGACGAGCCACTCCAGAATTCACCAAAGCTTTAGGCTCAAATTCTTCAGAATCCACCGAAGAACAACTCTCTCTTTTGTATAGAATGAACAAACAAACCTTTGATGTATTCTTCTTAACCCATGAGTTGAATACTCAATTAAACATCAAAGAAAACTAGTAAAATATCCCTAGATATAAACCTTAATATCCAAAAAGAAGATCTGGAGAAGCAATCCTAAATTCTGACTGAAACCCATATTTATAGAAATTTGAAACTGCGAGGCTCGCTCGAGCGAAGCTTCTCTCGCTCGAGCGAAGCTTCTCTCGCTCGAGCTAGGAACCAAAAACGCGTGTTTTCCATAAGTGGCTTCGCTTGAGCCACGCACCCTTCGGTCGAGCGTGCATTCATCTCTTTTAGGTTTTTACATAGACGCAGCCTTCGCTCGAGCGAGAACTCCTTTGCTCGAGCGAGCAAGGGCGGATAGGCAACTTTGAATGCAATTTTGCATTTTGCTTCGGGAGCCCGCCTGGGCGCTGCCCCGGACCCACCAAGGGGCGCTGCCCCGTGGACCCCCACGAGCTGACCGGGCAGCTCGATCCCCATTATAATCAGCGAAGTGGCAATCTTGAAAGTATTAACATCATAAACTTCTCTGTAAGGCACAATTCGGATTGGATTCGCAAACTCATATCCTCACTGAAATACAAGAACGAATAAAATGACAACTGAAAGGAGTTTTGTCAAACGGGATTGCCAAGAATAATAACCTCACATAAACATTATTAAAATATTAAATATTCATGTGACATATTGAGCATTTAATAAATATGGTGGTGTTTGGGAACTTGGTTCACAAATTTTTTCTCATTTTTTTCACTAAAAGACAAAAGTTTTGCAAAACCAAAAAAAAACAAATCCAAACAAAATATAACATTTAACCCCATAATCATTTCACTTTTTCTCTCACAAACATCACATCCAACTACAAAAAAACTTAACTATCTTCCCAAACACTAAAATTTTTTTATCCAATAATATCCTACAATTAAAAAAATCTACATAAAAACCCAGTTCCCAACCACCCACATAGCATTTGCTGGGTAACTTAATGTGATATATTATTATTTTTAATTATAATATTTAATTGCTTACCTATCTTTTAAGGTTCTATCGGCAAAATAATAGGGATACAATTTAAATATGTAAAAATAAATAATAAATAAATTAATATCATAATACATTTATTATTTAAGTAGTAAGAAATTTTTTTGTTAAACTCAACATCTTAGTTTTGATTCGTTTGGTTCATCGGCTCACTTAAGATTCACTTAAGGCCTGGCCCGAGGCCTAGGAGTGTAAAGATGGCTCGTGACCCGTTTGGGCTTTGGCCTGAGTTCAACTCGAGACCCTAGGCCTGGACTATTATTTTGAAGCCCCGACTCTTGACCCGGCCCATCGGTCCGCTTAAGGCCCACTCAAGGTCCGACCCGAGTCTTGGCCTGCCTGACGCCCAGTATCTTTTTTAGTGAAAATTAATAAACATTTGGTTGAAAAAATAAGGAAAAACAAAAAATTTGTTCAAGCTTGCCAAAGCCCGAGCCTAGGCCCACTAGCTTGCCCAAGGCCCGAATATCCTCTGGTTTGGACCTAGTTTTCTGGCTTGCAGGCCAGCCTGGACCAACCCGAATTTTGGCAGGAGCCCGCAATGCCTACCCTTAGGGGTGTAAATCTGGCTCAGCTTGGCCTATGTCGGGCCTCCGAGCTCCCACCAAAATTCGAGTCAGTCCAGGCCGACCCACGGGCCAAAAAATTAAACCCAGGCTCAAGCCCAAGCCCAAGCCCAAGCTTAGAGGTATTCTGACCTTGGACAAACTGGTGGGCCGGGCCTCAGGCCGGCTCAATGGGCTTGGGCCTGGCCTAGGACTTAGGCTGAGTTTGGACGGGCCTGACCATTTTTTTTTGTTTTTTTAAATTTTTTATACCAAAATTTTATTAGTTTTCATTAAAAAATACACTAGGTCTCGGGTGCCGGGCCGGACCACGGGCCAGAAAACTAGGCCCAAGCCCAAGCCCAAGCCTAGAGGTATTCTGACCTTGGACAGACTGGTGGGCCTGGCCTCAGGCCTGAGGCCCGGCCCAATGGGCTTGGGCCTGGCCTAGGGCTTAGGCTGAGTTTGGACGGGCCTGACCATTTTTTTTTGTTTTTTTAAATTTTTTATACCAAAATTTTATTAGTTTTCATTAAAAAATACACTAGGTCTCGGGCGGGCGGGCTGGGCCGTAAGTAGGCCTTAAGCGGGCCGATGGGCTGGGACACGAGCCGGGCCAAACGGGTTGGGCCCATGGGTAGGGCCGAGCTTCAAAATGATGGCTCAAGCCTGGGCCCAAGCGGGCCTAAACGGGCTTGGCCTATCTCGGACCACCCACAGGCCGCGGGCCATTTTTACATTCTTACTTGACATTGGCTGGGTTAGGCCAAATTTACACCTCTACTGAGATCCAGTATCATTTTTTGTGGAAAAAACATAAAATTTTGATGAAAAAAATAATTTTTTTTTGAAAAAAATGTTCAAACCCTATCCAAGCCTGAGCCCAGGCCCATCGGGTTGGCCCGCCCAAGACCCGAATAACCCTGGGCCTAGTCCTAATTTTCTGGCCAATGGGCCCAGTCGGCACGACCCCAAATTTTGGCGGGAACTCGCAAGGCCCGACATGGGCTGGCCAAAGCTCGTGCCCAGGTGGGTTGAGCCGGCCCAAATTTACACCCTAATTGCCCCCTATAATTTTGAAAATTACATTTCATCCCCTAAGATTTATAATTTCATAACATATCGTCCATTTTATTAACATTTTTTTAATTATATTGGAAATATATTTTAATTAATAATTTAAATAATTTTATTATTGTATAGAAAAGTAATTATGAATTTTTTTTAGTTAATTTTATTAAATAAAAAATTTTAACAAATGAATATTTATAACTTTTCAAATCACAAAAACAATTTGTATTTTAAACAAACTCAGGAGATGTATATATAATTTATCCTAATTTTTTAAATTACAACTTAAAAAATATAAAATTGTACAATTTTTTTCTTTAATTATAAAATTCATCCCCTTTTATGTGGTATTGACAATTTTAAAAAGAAAAATTCATGTCAAAGAATTAAACAAAAAATTAGCGAGTTTTGTTAGTAAAATATTTTTCTTGTAATGATTGTACAGGAACATGGTGGGGAGCTGACAAACGAACAGAAAACCCGAATATGCAATTCCATAGACTGCACCAAGCTCTCCTCTCATCTCCTCATGCACGCTGTCCAAAACCCTACCATGCCTCTCCGATTCGTCGTCCAAGCCATGTTCATCGATCAGCTCAACACTCGTCACTCCCTCATCCCCGCCTCCGACCACCACCGCCCTCGCCACCGCCACCGCACCACCACCACTTTAGGCGCAATTCTCCAACGCGACGCCGCGCTCCGCCAGGCGGAGCAACTCAAGGCGTCGATGGACGCCACCACCTCCCGCATCCAAACTTTAGAGAAAGAGCTGGACGGAATGAAGAAGCTCCTCCACGAGTCTGCGAATGCGGGAATCGATTTGCAATCCGACCGATCTGCGAGCTTTCGATTCAGCTCCGAGAATAAGATCGAGAGAGATGACAAAGGGTCTGTTTCTTTTGGCGGGTTTCGCACTTTTCCGAGGAGAGAGAGAATCGGAGGAGCATCGTCTTCGTCGGGCGGGTCGGGTGATGGAATTAGTGAGAGGGTTGAGAAGAAATTTGGGCGAAAATTGATTAGTAGATTGAAGAATGCGTTTCGTTCGTCGAAAAAGAATTCGGAAAGCGGAGCTCCGAGCAAAGTGGTTAAAGTGGTTGGAGATGGAGGAGAAGAGTTTGGGAATGGGGATGTTACTGTGATTAAAAAAGATGCACCTTTTCACCAGCGTTCTCGCTCTTTAGGTTGATGCTTTTTTTTCTTCTTATTCTTATTTATTTTATTTTTTTTAATTTTTTTTATTTGCTCTCCATTTTCCTGGCAATATGTGGTTGATACAGTTAGCTAGTGTTTGATATAATTTTAGAATTATGATTTGAGAATAGAGTTATATTTTGAATTTGTGAGTTTTGAAATTATGATTTAAGTGTGAAAATTTTATTTGATTATAAGTTTTGAATTGAGTTTGAAATTTTTGATGTAACATATGATATTTGATTTAAAAACTTACAATTCATAATCAAACACATAACTCAAAATTCTATTCAAAATTCATAAATAATTTTTTTAAAAATTCTGAAACTATTTTTTATTTAAAATATAAAAATAACATGTGTCAAAAAAAAAAAACTGTTTTGGTCAACCGGCCGGACGTGCGGGGAGACATTCGAGAGGATGACCGGGCAAACATATTTTCAAAAGTGGGTGTGGAATCGATTTTTGAAAATTCTAACCAAACACAACATTCAAATTAAGGTGTGGAATTACGTTTCAAAATCATAACTTAGTTTTTAAATTGGAAATTCATTTCTAAAACTGTTAAATTTTTTTGGGCCGAAAGCTTAATTATCTGTTTAAAAGTTTAATTATATATCTATTTGTTCAAACGTATCTATTTGTTATGACCTAAACTAAACCAAACCAAACCAAATTAAGCATTAAGTCTCATCAAATAAGGCTGGTTACATGAATCCTTCTTCTCCACTCGATTCTATTCAAGGTCATTTCGTTAGTCAAATTAAAAGATTCATATCTATATTTACCACACTAGTTCACGTCAATTTAGGTCTACCCCTTCCCTTAACATTACCATCTAGCGACACTGTATCGCATCTCTTTACTACCGTCTTTGTTGGTCTCCGTTGTAAATGACCAAATCATCTTAATCTATTCTCTCTCAACTTATCTTGTATCGGTGTTATTCTTACCTATTCTCGAATATACTCATTCCTAACTCTGTCTTTTTTAGTCTTGTCACACATTCACCTTAGTATCATCATCTCAACAACACTCATATTCTCCACATGTTGTTTCTTAGTTGCTCAATCCATACAATATCGCTGGTCTAATAGCCATTTTATAGAATTTTCCTTTTAGTGTAATGGGTACTTGTTTATCCCATAGTACTCTAGACGTACTCTTATATGACCTATTTGTTCAGATGTCTAATTATCTATTTAAATGTATACACGTATTTTATATCTATTCATTTATCTATTTAATATCATTTATATGTCTAACTCATTGTCACGTACAGTTGTTGCTGTTGAATATACTAGCGACTTTTTCGATAATTTTTGGCATTAATAACTTTTCTGATGCTTTTTCAACGAATGTTTTTATCACTAAGAAAATTTTGTGTTTAGAGAAGCTCTCCAAACACATTTCCACTCATTGATTTCAGTGTGGTATTTGTTTTGAGTTTTCAAATTATAATTCCCTATCCACTTTTGAAAACTCATTTCCAGGCGGAAAAATTTAGCTAACCTGGTCGTCTTCCTGGACATCCGCCCGGACGTCCGGCCAGTTGACTGGAACAGTATTCAATTTTTTTTTTAGCACCTGCTATTTTTATATTTTAAATAAAAAAATATTTTCAGAATTTTTAAAAAAAATTTATGAGTTTTGATTAGGATTTTGGATTATGTGTTTGGTTATTAGTTGTAAGTTTTTGAATTAAATATCCTATGTCACATCATTTATTTCAAACTCAATTTAAAACTCTTTTCAAAACTCATAACCAAACAAATTTTTCACACTCAAATCATAATTCTAAAACTCGCAAACTCAAAATACAATTCTATTCTCAAATCATATTTAAAAAACTCTACCAAACGCTATCTAAAATTTTAATTAAATGATATATGACTCAAGAAATACACTTTTCACCTGTTAATTTTGAAAAATTTTGTTTATTTATTTATTTTTTCTCTCTCGCAGTAGTATAGTAATTATGTGAGTTATCTAAATAGGGGCTATATTGGGATGCGTGGGCCAATTGTCCCAATGAGTGGGCCGGGCTAGGCCAGGACCGGGGCCGGGGCTGGGGATTACACTCCCCGTCCCTGATCCCTGAAGGCAAAAAATCTCCGTCTCCAGCCCAATCCCCGGCGGGGAAACCATTACCCCTCGCCTCCGCCCCCTAACAGGTATCGGGTTTGCTTGACCCCGAAATATCCCCGACTTTTTTTTTTCTTCTCTTTTTTGAATTTTGTTCAACACAAGAACAAAAAAAAAAAATCTATTTTATGTTTCATCATCATCAACAACACCAATTTGAAGCATGATATATATACAAATAAAATTAAAATATATATACATTTTTACCTATATCCTCAAATTGCCCACCCATATTTCATCTATAAGAAACCCAACAATAATGGAAACAAAAACATACAAGAAACTTGTTATCCAAAAAGCAACCTAAGAGGGAGGTGAATTAGGTTTCTATAAATTAAAATTAATAATACCCTAATAAAATTAACTATTAGTACAACAAATTATTAACAAGCACAATGATGAACTTAGCAATATATGATCAAGCAAAATAACAATGAAGTATAGCTAACATACAAGGTAAATCAAATGATTAACACATGAATATCAAATAGTTATAGCAGTAGTAGGAAAATAAAGAGATTAGGGAACAGGAGGCAAACAGATTTATAGTGGTTCGACTTCAACTAAGCCTACATCCACTTCTTAAGCTTCATTTGAGATTTTCCACTACCTTCTACCTTTACAAGGGTGCTAGCAACCTCATAAACATGGAGCAATCCTCCACAGATTTTATACAGACTTCACAAGCCCAAACCCTTGCAAATCTTAGGTGATTCACAATCACTCTTAAGATTTCAAGAACACAGTGTTTGCAACATTTTTACAATATGAAATGGTATTTTTGCTTTCAAAGAAAGTTTACAATAAATATCTCTCCTAGATGGATATACAAAATGAAGCTCACTGATTTTGTGTAAAAAACCTCTCAAAGGTAAATATGCTTAAGGCTAAGTTGTGTGTGTTTTCTAAAGGAAAGGAAAAGAAAATACAAAAGATTTGATCTTCAGAAAATAGAGAGATGAGATTGATGATAAAATCACACAGCTTTTCTTGGCTCAAATCTCTTGAATTTCTGATGACCTTTCATAGGTAGATGGGCTTAAGGTTATGGCTCAGTGTTTGATTTTCAAGATGAAATGGTATTTTTGCTTTCAAAGAAAGTTTACAATAAATATCTCTCCTAGATGGATATACAAAATGAAGCTCACTTATTTTGTGTAAAAAACCTCTCAAAAGTAAATATGCTTAAGGCTAAGTTGTGTGTGTTTTCTAAAGGAAAGGAAAAGAAAATACAAAAGATTTGATCTTCAGAAAATAGAGAGATGAGATTGATGATAAAATCACACAGCTTTTCTTGGCTCAAATCTCTTGAATTTCTGATGACCTTTCATAGGTAGATGGGCTTAAGGTTATGGCTCAGTGTTTGATTTTATGAAGGATGAGTGATTAACTCAAATGAAGAACACTCCAGGAACTCCGAGAAGATGAAATAAGTGAGTGATGAATGATATAGAAATGTTTTGCTTGTTGTCTCTATATCCCTATCTTCAGTAGGAGTACTTCTATTTATTAAGAAGAAAACATCGATCGTTGTCTATTGTGTGTGTTGAGAAGATTGAGTAAGATTTTGGTTAACTCTACTTTACTCCAATTTGCATTCCCCATGCATGTGTTGCGTGTGTTGAGAAGATTGAGTAAGATTTTGGTTAACTCTACTTTACTCCAATTTGCATTCCCCATGCATGATTAGATCTTGAAAGAGTTGAAGATGGGTCTGATTGAAGACAAGTAAATTTGAAAAAAAAGAGCTGTTGTAGTATAGAGTGGTCGTCCACCTAGATGTCCAAAGCCAAGCTTTGTTCTTATGGGACGTCTGCCCGGACGTCCACCTGGATGCCCACCTGGATGTCCGGTGAAGTCCCGGCCGACAAGGATGACTGTCGCGGTCATCGAGCATATTGCTGGTCTGACAGCTGGAGCGAAGCTAGACTGAACTGGAGTGAAACAAGCTGATTTTGGCCTAGCCGATCGTCCCCCCGTCTGCCAGACGTTCACCCGGACGTCCGCCTAGTGTATTTTTAGCCTCTTTTCTTCTTCTGCTGCTGCTGCTTGTGTTGTGTTGCTATAATTTTTGGCCTGTTTTGTTTTTGTTTTTGTTGCTGTTTTGCTGATGTTTTTGGGTTGATTTGCTGCTATTTTTGGGCTGTTTTGCAGCTGTTTTTGCTGATGGTTTTGGGGCTATTTTTAGATTTTTTTTGCTACAGGTTTTGCTGTTATTTTTGTGCTGATTTTCTACTATTTTAGACTCTATTTTAGGCTGAAATTAACACATGTTTAAGATCATTTGAACCTCTAAAGAGATAGATTAAATTGACATGGATAAAACATAATATATTGATCAATTTAATTTATTAAGAACAAAATCAAAACATAATCAAAATAATCATCAAAACACAATATGACTAACAATCTCCCCATTTTAATGATGGCACACCATGATGTTTTGATTTGTTTGGGAGTAAGAAAAACTCCCCCTCAAGTCATGCTCCCCCTGAACGTTTGCTTCTTATAGATATAAACATGTTTAGCACATTAGCAATATATAACAGTATAATCATAGCATGATTGATAACATAATCTCAATCCAAAACATTTAAGCTCAAAACATCACAATTTCTCCCCTTGTAACATTATCAAAAACACATAAAAGATATCACAAAACATAAATGTCATGAGTGCAATAAGGAGAAGTTCAAAAGGTCAAGAATGAGGCACACATTCTGTTTTGTTTTGCAAGAAAATATGGCAACAATGAGTCAATGAAGAATTCATGATATTTCATTATATTTTCAAGCAAGAGCCAAGGAGATACCAAATTGTTAATAAGTATATGTGAAGCATTTGAGCATGATACCAAAACAATCAACTCCTTTTTCTCCCCCAGTGACATTTTTAACAAATCAAGCACAAGTAGGGAGTATGGTACAACATATAAGATGAAAGAATGTAAGTCTCATTATAGTACAAATAATCATCCATATCAAGGTAGCTCTATGATACAAAAAAAAAAAATGATAGC